AATCTAATCTAATCTAATCTAATCTAATTTAATTGAATCTAATCTAATCAGAAGTAATCTAATCTAATCTAATACAATACAATCTAACCTAATGTAATCTGAACTAATTTAATCCAATCTAATATAATCTAAACTGAACTAATCAAAAAAAAATCTGATCTAACTCTAAAAGACGTTATTTTCAAAGATTACAGAGGTGAGCGCCACCTAGGGGGCAACCGGTGCGCGTCTGCTGACCAACTCTGGCTTTGTGTGTGGGACTCTAGGAGTGTTTGCGAGCATCGCTACAGAGGCGTGCTGTGTGTGTGAGTGTGTGCTGTGGGATGTTTGTATAATCATCATACCTAAGAGGCAGAAAACTGAAAATGCCGAAAGACCATCAGTGGGAGCCCTTGAACCTAAGACTGCAATCAATCAATTGAATAAGGGACACTGGACATAAGTTATGTTATAATGTTTGAATGATAACAAGCCTCCAGCCACTAGGGGGCAGCAACTCATACAGTGGTTTGTGCAGATAAGAATATACATGTTATCAGGTATCTCAATAGTATTTAAATTCTCGAGGGGTTTCGTGGGTCAGGGATGCATGAAAACATTTCTGTCATGAAAATAAAATTTAATTTAATTTTTTTTTTTTTTTTGGGTGTTTAAGGTGTTCTATTTAGATTTTGTTTCACTCCGGTGACGTTTATGTCCAGTATGATATAGTAGTAAAAAGACACTTAGATCAAGTGTTTTTATTAAGCTAAAGCACAACATTTTTTTTTTTCCCCCCTTAACATTTCAGATGTTAGGTCGGCAGGGCACGTCTCCGCTCTGACTCGTCCGCTGCTGCTGCAGTGAATGAACGAACGTTGAATGAACACTGTGTCGCAGCGTCTAAAATTAGACGAATGAAAGTCGGCCGAGTCTGATGACTCGTCAGTGGGTCAGCCGCTGCACTGCCTCTAGTGCTCACTTCTTCCACTCTGGGTCAAAGCTCCAGCCAAGGCAGGAAGCTCTGAGAGAGAAAGAGAGAGAGAGAGAGAGAGGGAGGAAATGGAGTCACATCCAGGAGGAA